AATTATCAAAATATAGACTTTTTATCGTTAACAATAAAACAATTAACAGTTTTGAGCTCAGAGTTACTTTTAATTGGTTTACATTAGATAATGAATGGAAAAGTTGGACTTTAAACATAATTATGTGAGCATAGGGGTAGGGAAGGTTAGTACGGGTATTGCGAAAACAATTAATACCAAATATTCTGGTGAATTCACTATAAGTTTATTAAATAGTTTTAAAAATTTATTTTTCAATTATTAAGCAATCATTTAATTTTAATACTGTTAAAAGTTTTATTTTTATTTGCAAGTAGACAAACAAAATAAACATAGACTATTAAAATAAGTTTACAAAAAACTAATTTACGGTATTTACAAAATATATTATAGTATTAACAAATCAATTATAAAATTAATTTAACATATAATAGCAATTGAAATGCAGGTCCTTATCAACAGCGACGAGAAAAATAAAAGTTATTGTATTATATATATATATATATATATATATATATACAGTATATATCAGACAAAATTAAAAATTAAACCAACTTTCTCGATTCACACACCAATTCACGATAAAATATAGATTAAGCAAATAAATCGTTAAAAACAATACACACATATAAAAAGCACTCAAAATACCACTCATTTTAGTAGTCATTATATCTCATACGTGTATAAAACACCAGAATATTCATTAAAATACAATGAATTTTCATACCATATGTTTGCTTTTAACACTAGCCATTGCTTATAATGAGGCAAAAGAACATTATAAAGTAACCTCGGTCGAAAAGCTCCAGTCTGACCTGGGTGAAGGGCCCCACTGGGATGAGAAACAGGGTGTTTTATGGCACACAGATATTAACGAGTTTAAAGTGTGCCGGCTCAATGTTACTAGCGGCGAGTCCGAGTGCACTAAATTGGATGATATTGCCACCCTGGTACATCCATATCCCAATGGCGAGGACTTATTGGTCACCCAGCGTAATAAGATGGTCAAACTGAACTGGGCAACTAAAAAATACACGGTTATAGGTATGAATGTTATTATTTTACTATGTTGCTATTTAGTATAAGTTTATTAAATGTGATAAATTATTTATAAATTCTCACAAGGGTCATTACGTTAAATTAATTATTAGGCACTTAATTATAATTATATTAGTCAATAAAGTTGTTTAAAATTTCCTAAATAATAATAGTATCAAGTTATTTTTATTATTATCTATGAGTAGTTTATATTTATAATTATAAAAATCCCACCAAAACTAAAAATATTTATTAAAAGTAAGCTAGGAAATTAATAATTACATCAACGTGTTAATTGACTTTACTATCATTTACTAACTTGTGAGCAATTATTTACACATCCCTTTCCCTTTCTACATCCCTATAGGAGAGGTAGCGCCTGAACTGAAGGGTAAGGAGCGTTTCAATGATGGAAAGGCTGATAAGCTTGGTAG